TAGTGGGGGCAGCAGGGAGAGGAAGACGCAAGATTAAAAGTGGGAAAGGGTCATAGATAGGAAAGGGGAAAATGAGAGACCCTAAAGACCATCTTGCCAGAGGCAACCCTGCAGCTTTGACAATACAGAAGGGAGTGTGTTCCGATGTGATCTACTTCCGTCAGAATAGCTTTTGTGTTACAGTCTAAGGGCCAGGAGCTGAGGGCAAGAAGAGCAGCCAGCAGAGGATTTGGAAAGGAAAGGCAGGAGGCCTCCCAGACTCAGATGATCTGTGCATGGTCCAGAAGAAGAATCCCTCCAACACCTCCCCTTAGTGCTAGGAAGCCACAGCAAATAGGGTATGTTTTAGCTCCACCATTCAGAAGTCACCTAGCCTTTCAGTGACTCCATTTCCCCCATCTTTAAAATGGGGGCAATGAGGTATGAGGCTGAGGGTTAAATGAGATAATACATGTAAGTGCCCAGCACAGTGCCTGGTACAGTCAGTCTGCAGTGCCCCCTGGCAAAGAGCATTGCCTTCGTGGTCCAGGCCAAGCCTCGCCCCTCCTGGAAGTGCCTCTGACTTTTACACTAAGCTCTTGGAGCACTTGCCATCTGTACCACACAATTTATGACCTAATTATACACTGTCTTGGGACAATTAGGGAACGATTCACTACAGCATAATAAAATGTTAAATTGGATTCAGCTGAGTTCCTTCCAGCTCTAAAATATGACAGTTTCAAACCCCACATCATATACGATTGCAGACATGCACAGACACATCTCGGCCCAGGCCCTCGGAACTCACTTGGCTTACTCTTCTACAGAGAGGGCTCTCTTGAGTTATTCACTCAGGACCTCTCTTTTTTCCTGTGGCTGGGCTACCCCCTCCCCCCACACACACACACACTTAGGAAGTCTGCACTTCAGCCTGGAAGCCCAGCAGTGCAGGGAGAAAGCTGGCCTAGCCACAGACAGCTGGAGTGGCAGTAGCCTGGGCCAGCCCTGCTCTAGACCCCAGAGAGAGGTGCTCCTCACTTTGCCTTTCCATACCCATCTCCTCTTGTCATCTCATTCCCATGGCAGGACCAAAAGGGACAAGATTGGTGTGGAGTCTGGATGCAGGGCCAATGAGGCCAGCCAGTCAGGCCACCCAGGAGCCAGACGACCCATGGGAGGTGGTCCAGCCTGACTCAAGGCAAGAGTCTCTGTGGGATTTGGGGAATGCTTAGCAAACATGTAATGGCTTGCATGCACTTCTTGGACAGTTCCCTCTGCATGCAATGATAGAACTGCCCTGTGAGCAGCCATATTCCACAGAAGGTAGAGCTAAGGAGGACTCAGGAGAGCTTGGACTGTCAAGGGAAGACTCTGAAGCAGAGATCGGGCAGGCAGTGGAGACTGGCAAGAGGTCAAGAATGTGGGTGTGAAGCAGGGTCCAGCTGGCAGGAATAAGTGAAACCCTCTGTGCTGTGGCTTTGGCCCAGGCTGAGAGGCAGCTCGCTGCCAGGACAGCCCCCAGGGGATTCCTGCCTCAGCATCTGAGGCTCAGGGGACTTTTCTTAGGCTCTCTTGAGGCTGCAGATACAATGCTGCCCACGCTAAGGGACTGAGACCACCAATCGCAGAGCAGGCAGCTGGATCAGGCCAGGGAAGGCACTGGGCTGGCCAGGGAAGACAAGTACTCTGCCCCACACTCTACAACCGCCCCTCTGAAAACTTTCATGTTCCACAGGGAGGTGTTTGGGAGGGTTTCCCAATCAGTTATTGCCAAAGTATATAATCTTCTCTCATTGCCTTGTCTCTTTTTCTACATCCTGCCTTGCCTATCCTCCAACTGTGAATCTCCTTTTCCCGTCCAGTGGCTCAGGACTCTCAGGCTACCCTATCTTCTCCTCTCAAGAGAAAATTCTCTGATGTTTCCAATCTGTGAATAAATTTTTTAATCTAAAGTGTTTCCCCTTTCTGGGAATAACGTCTCAAAGACAGTGCCAGGAAACAAGAAGGTGGAATCCAAAGAAATAAGTCTCTGAGGAAAGATTCAGGAACCCTGAAATCAAAGTTTGCTTTCTTACCAATAGCCTTTACTACTTGCCTGCAAATCCATTTTCTCATTCAATTCACATTTACTGAGCACCTACCATACTGCCGGTGCCATACTAGAAGCTGAGAACTCAAAGATGAAGAAGCACAATCACTGTCCAGCTAAGGGGATGGGGACACAAAACATATTTTGAACATGATGAGAACCATCTTCAAAGATCTTCCAATTTGTTCAAAGCACTTATTTAAACAGGAATATTTGCTGATGAAAAATTACTCCTGCCTGCTCATTAAAGCAGTTCCTCAAAGGAAGCTCATTGGATAATACTTTATAGACCGAGACTTGAACGTAATAAAGCTAGACGTCAGTGCATACTGAATAAGCCACACACTTTCCAAATCAGCCCACGCTTCCCCAGCCTGTATCCAATGAGAAGGTCTGACCACATCCTTTATGGACACTATCTGGCCTCAACTTTCTTTTTGGTCTTCTTTGGAGTTTTCCAGACTAGTCATTTGGACTGGCTCCTTTTCCTGTGGCTCCTGCTTAAGTATATAATATATGAGTCATTTGCTTTTTTGCCCCTCTTTATCTGCTGGTTATACTTGGTATCTCATAACTTCCTTTCCAACCCTGTTAATAATAAATGACGGCAAGTTGAACCACATTTCAACACACCACACAACTGTAGATAGCAAAGTATGGCAGGCACTGAATTATTCAATAAGTGAATAATACTACAAAGTGCATCCATATTCCAGACATGGAGAGCTGCTCATTGGGATGATGAGCATGGCATCCTAGTTAGGTCCTCCCCTAAGCCCTGCAGATCTTCTGCCAAGAGCTGTTCTACCCATTTTAAGGAAGACAGAAGCTGCTCAAATGTAAACTATCTTCCACATGTAGTTCTTTTTTCTTTTTAAAGAATTATGAATTTTATTCATCATCATCATCACTTTTTTTTAATTTGCTACAGGGTATATACACTCACCAGAGACAGACACAGAGGAAAAAAGGAAGAGAGAGTGAGGAAGCAAGTCACCAGGTCCAGGATTTGAACCACAGTTGGCCATGTGGGAGCTTAGCACCTTAACCACCACACCACCTCCTGGTCCCCCACATGCAGTTCTAATTACATTAACCATTATTTCCCACATGTGGGAATCATACATAATGCAGCCTTTCATAAATGTATACTTTAGGGGTATACACATTTCAACTAGACATTGAAATTTGAAATTAGAATTGTCCCAGAAAAATGTGGGCTGTATGGTCAGCCATTTAATCTGGAACTAGGAATTCTTGATCACATGGCAGCTCTCAAGAAGAAAGTCAACTCAGCTGGTAATGACATTGGACAAAGGGCACCTGGATTCTAAACCAAACTGATAGAAGCTGGTGGTGTCTCTGACCCTCAGGGATCCCAGCTGGTTTGAGTCATCAAAAGAATAGGAGAGGAAGAGGAAATTAAGGACAAGATAGATCAGAAAAAGGGGTAGGACAGAAAAGGCATGGAAGAGAGAAGAAAGAGGGAAAGAAAAAGAAAGGGACACCAAGAAAGGGTGACAAGACATACAGGAGAAAAAATGGGCAGAGTGAGAAAGGAAGAGAAGTTAGAGACAAAACTGCGGTAGCAGTCGCATCGTGCAATGGTTTCAGCCCCTGCCCAGGGATGCATACCAAAACCAGCTTCTCAGGCCCTGTCTTACTACTCGTCCAGTATTTTCTCACCAAAACCTCCCAATGAAGTACTGAGGCAGACACTTGGTGACTTACCTAGACCACCCCCAATCTGGAAGGGTGGGTTGCAGAGCAGACAAGTTAACAGAGAAGTTCACATTTAAAGGACGGCAATGGACCACTCATCCTTCCTGTAACATCCCAGAGGCCAAAAGGCTGGCCCAGGCTCCAGTTGCACATATATGGGAAGAACTGTGGTCCCCAGAAGGCAGCATAAGACACTCCAGTTCAGGTCAAGATGAAGGCATACAGCCATGCTAACACGCTTTTGTGGGCATTCACCCAACTGGTGTTTGATACTGGGGCAATATCTTTTCCAATGCATTGAACAAAAACATATATAGGGGGTCCCTGGAAAAACACATCACTTCCCCTCTTCAAGGCCAATGTAATGTTTGGGTGTCAAAAGTAGAAGCAATAAAAGCTCATGCCTCTTGCTCAGGGAAGTGAATCTGTAAGTTAGCCCATACTTAGAAATACAAAAGCTAAGGAACCAAACAACTTCATTGGCCCCTGGAAGTCCTCTCTAAGCAAAGAGAGCATCCTGTCCTGTCCTTCCCTCTAATGCCCTCTCTGCCATGAGTGTGCCCCTACTCGAGAACATTCCCACTTTGTCCATTCAATGAGTATTACTGAACATCTATTCCTGAGTGTACAGGGAGCCCATAGTTACTGATTCTAGCTCCAAACTCTATGACAAAGCAAGAGGAAATAACCATGTGGTCATACAAACAGCAAATCCAGTGCCATCATGATGAAAGAGGCCCTGCCCTAGCCAAGGGAATTCTCACCCATGAGCATGCAGAGACTGCCTGGACAGTGGGCTTAAGAAGGTCAGGGAACCTCCTGCCCAGCTCCCATCCTGATGCCACACACACTTGCGTGCACACACACACACACACACGCACCCCTACATATGCGTGTCAACTGATATATGTGATCCCCACAGCAGAGACACAGCTTTTTCTCCACCCTCAAATGGAGGCCTATCCCAGTCACCCCCCCACAACAGAAGCAACCACTTTGTTGTGGTTGGGTCCTCGTTCTTCACATCCATTCACCACCCATATTAAAACTGACGAGGTGGGATCTCAAAATGCAGTGAGTCTGGGCCACTGGAACAAGCCTGTTTCTCCTCTGAAGGCAGCATGAGGAGAAAGACAATGGGACAGGGCTATAGGGTCACTACAGGACAGGCTTCCCCACCTCCCTGGCCAGTCACTGGGGTCTGTACCTGGAGCTGGAGTCACTGCCGCTCTGCACTGCTTGGTCGTCCGTGATATTAAAGAGCCCCGTCCAATTGGCCAGCTGGTCACCACTCTGCCAACCAAACTGGAGGCCTCTGGCAAGAAAACGAGGCAGTCGGTACTTATGCTCAGTGGTTGAGTTAAGCCCGTCTACCAGAAAGCCACATTCTGTCATAATGCCCAAGTGACACATTGCTTTGATTGGGGACTGCAGGGACAATGGTGAAGACTCTAGCCACAGGGATGATAATAAACCATAGCCCTTCATGGTGTCTCTGTTCTTCTATGACCATTTTTATCTTTACCATTTGGGCTGGGAGTGTACATTTTTTACACAGGGAAACCAAGGCTAAGAGAGATTAAGGTCATAGAGCTCTTCTCCCACCGCTATGGTGTCATCCTCAATTCCCACCTTTATAGCTGTGAACCAGAAGGGCTCCAGCTCACCAGCACTTTGTTTTCCTGGGGGGGTGGGGGTGGGGAGCAGATATGCCACAGTGATTTTAAGGAAATCTACAGTCCTCCAGCACACAACAATACTACTCCTGGTTTAAGACAATACACTCGATGTGTGTTTATCTCCACTCCCTCCCTGGTTGAGCACTAGTGTCATACAATGATGCTCACCACGCAGAGCTTCCAAGGAACCTGCTAGTGACCAGTTGGCCCTTATGTGTGAAGGGTCATTAAAGACCACTGGCATGTGAGAAAAACCTTAACTTGAAAGTCAGAATTTTAAAAAAGAAAAATAAAAAAGGCATTTGAGGGAAAAACAAAATGCTTGATAGTAAATGGCTCTAAGCTAAGGGAATGGGACAGCAGATGGTTGCTGGAGTTGGGAACTGGCCCATCCACTAATGAGCTGAGAACCCTTAGTCAAGTCCCTGCAGCTCTCGAGGTCTCTGTTCCCATTTTTCAAGTGAAGAAAATGAGCTTGGCTTTCTCCAAAGTCCTTGACAGAAGGTATCACAGGGCTGGGCAGTCACCTCAGGAGTCCAGCCTGCTTCCCACCTGCATATGAGCCTGATTTCCGGGACTGAGTAGTCCCCTCAGGCTCTCCTCGCAGAGAGCTGCACACACGAGGGACCAAATTGGTGCTTTGCTGAGTGACTGCTCATTTCTTAGACTCTCCTGTCTCCATAGCAGAAGGGAAAGGAATAAGCACAACTTGCAGGACAGAGCCCAAGTCAAAGCAAAATGCCCATCCAGTTCTTAGTGCTTTCAGAAACCAGCAGTGCTCCAGTTTAGCTGATTCAATGGTTACTCATCTATTTACTCAGGTATTTATTTACAAAGTGGTTAAGTTTCATTTCAAAGAGATCAACGAGGTATGTCTTGGAGAGAATCTGGATTTGGTTTATTCAGAAGGGATACATTTGTTGAGCACCTGCTATAAACCAGGCTCTTTGCATACGTGGTCTCAGTTCCTACAAACAGCCTCATTCAGACAGTCTCATTACCTCCATTTACAGATGCTGAAAAATGCAGTTTAGAGAGGTTTAGTAACTTGTTCAAGATCGTAAGACTAACTAAAAATGACCAAGCTAAACTTTAAACCCAGGGATGTCAGACTCTAAAAGCCTTTTCCAGGCTATATAGTCCAAGAAAACAATAGCATTTCTGCCTGAAATTTTGCAAATTATTGGGTCATTGGAAACAATGTTTTTACATGCAAAAATGCATCCTGATTTTTTGAACAATCCAAAGCTGCTTCACAAGCATATTCAAATCAATTCTTAGCCCAGGAATTTGCTAGGAAACTCACAAGCTATTTGAAAATAATCTCACCAAGCCCATCCATGGTGCTGCCTGCTACTAAGACACTGTGCTTGGCTGATTGGGACCCTATGGGAGGCTCAATTCAATTCCCAGGTCAACCTAAAGGCCAGGCATGGTGATACATGCCTGTAATCCCAGTGACTCGGTGAAGCTGAGACAGGAGGATCACAACGTAGTGAAACCTTGTCTTAACACCCTCTTAAGTATGGTGAACAACTTTTTTCTTGGAATACATGAAGGGTCGTCTAGACACACTGTCACTCACTCACCATTGTGAGATCCCATGTCCTTCACATGACAGTCTCTCCTATGATTATAGAAGGCATTAATTAATTAATCCTTGAGCAAGAAGTATGACAACATGCAAATGTGCTCATTACAAATTAAGTGGAAAAAAAAAAAAAAACTCGGGCCGGCAGGTGGCGCGGTGTTTAAGGGCGCTGGACTCCCACATGGTCGATCGTGGTTTGAGTCCCAGACCTGGTGGCTTGCCTTCTTTCTCTCTCTCTCTCTCCCCCCATCTGTCCCTTTCTGGTCAAATTAAAATAAATAAATAAATAAGGTTAAATACAATAATTCTTGAAAGAAAAAAAAACTGGCTACAAAGAGATGTGTGTAGGAGTCTAATTTTGTAAGGTTTTATACCACAATCTGGTTATCTTTGTAGGTAGGATGAATGTTTATTCTTTTGCAACATTTAGTAATGTTTTCTGATTTATCTCAAAAACCCTGGCTGCATAAATTTTCAAAACTAATATGCTATATAATTTAAATTTCATTTCTGAGCTAAGTGTAAGGATTGTTCATTATGAACCAATGGAACCCCAAAGAGGAGGGTGTTTGGAGGTCCGGAGGAGGATAAAAAAGGAAAAAGAAGTTTTATCCACACATTCATTTATTCAACAAACATATATTGGGCATCTACTGTGTCAGCAACATCATAGTCACTGAGACAAAGATACAAAATAAACTTTTTAAAAAAAAAGTACCATAAAATTGAGATGATTAAACTAACACATGTGAAAATATCAACACATATGAAAATAACTTACCCACATTACAATACTAGCAAACAAAATGGGGCAAAATCTAGTGTCAAAAAGAGACACTTTCTCTGTATTTTTATATTTTATTCTAGTTTATGTATTTACTTTATTATGCTTTATTTATTTATTTATTTTACTTTATTACGTTATTTATTTTACTACTTTATTTTAGGCTTGTAACTGCCAGAGGGTACATACACTTGCCAGAGAGAGAAGAGACAGAGATTGGGGGAGAAAGCATCCCCTAATAGGATGTGATGGCACTGCACCCCTGCTGGGATTTTAGGCATGCATGCATATGTACCTGGCATGCTTTTCAAGCCTCAGGAGTCAGGATTTTAACTGTGGTTGTCCACCGTGTGGAATCCAGCACCCTTAACCACTAGGCTATGGGGCTAGACAATCTCATGTGTTTTAAAAGAAGGTAACTATCTGGAGTACATATAGCAGAATGTCAACATTGATCAACATTGTTTACTCCCAGCCATAGCTACATGAATGTTTGTTACACGGGGTCTTCAAAAAATTCATGGAAAACATCTATTATAAGAAAAACTAGCTTTTTTAAAAATTGCACTAAAACTCATATTTTAATTTCGTCTTCCATTAACTTTTTGAAGTCTCCTCATATAGCCTGTCTTTTCATATATAATTTTTTTAATCAAGTGTTTTAGGGCCAGATAGTGATAAAATGTGAAGCTCTGGCTAGCCAGTGACATGGTTGTTAAAGCAACTCGATTCTACATGGCTGATGGTACGGCTTGAAAAATATACAGGGAGCCGCGGGGGCTCACGCCCCCGGCGCGCGGCGGCGCCCCCCAACAGCAGAAGAACGCGGGGGCTCACGCCCC